AAAAAAGAAAAAGAAAATAAAACAGCGAAAATTATTAGGAATCTTAAAAGAAAAAGCAAACTAATCTTGATGAATAGAAATTGCAATACTCAAATATTTAGAAGTCAACTGGCAGTAAAGTATTTTAATACAATGATATTAATAAACATGTCAATAACTAAATTGCATAAGATATTGGAAATAGGTCCATTAATATATATAGTTTTAATATACAGAAATGCAGGCAGTTAAAATAGAGAAAAAAATTAAGTACAAAAGTAGTGACATAAGACCACTAACTAGCTGTCTGGTAAAAAACAATATAGCTGAATCTCTACTTGACTTATCACACCATGATAAATTTTAGATGGATCAAGAGGTAAGCATTCTTAAATAATGATGATAAAAATACAAATATTAAGTTTAATTTTATAATATAAATTCAATAGTCAATAGAATATTTTATTATCATATTTGATGAAAAAAATATATATTTTTATAATAGAGTTCTTTCAAATAAATATAATGATCACTAACCCAATATAAGTGGAAGATTCACAATGAAATAATAATAACTTACAAACATAAAATATTCAGTCTTTTCCAATTAAAAAGAGTAAACTAAGAGAACAATATGAGAAAATTTGTTCCTATCAGATAGATCAGGATCAAAAAGCTGGTTATTACAAAGATACCATGTAGACTTGACAGAGATATAACCAACCACACAAATATTGAGGGGGCTACAATTGGGACAACCTCTCTTTAGGGCAACATTAGAAAATCCAGCAGATGATAAATGCATCAACTTTTCATCACAGTAATTCTAATTTTAGAAAAAAATTTCATTAATATGTTTGCTCGAAAGCAAAAGATGTACATACAAGGATATATAGTGTATCTAGAGTAACAATTTAAATCATCATTGCCTGAGACATCAAATACAACGTGTCCATACATTGAAATTATGCATTTGAGTGAGAAAGAATGAGCCAATCTGCATAAGTTAGTGAAAAACACCTACAAAATATATTAATTTTTAAAGGCACGGAACTGAGTTTATGTAGGTTTTCTTACATGTTAAAATGGATTTATCTACTTATGAACATCAGTGACTATATTTCTGTACATTTATCAATGTAAGTGCATGGATAGACTTGTCTATAAATGAATTATTTCTTGAGGACTAAACGGAAATATTTAAAAACGAGTGCCCATAGAGTGGAAGAATGAGGGACTGAGACCTATATTAGGATGGAGTTGCAATTTTTATTGAATACTCTATTTTTCTTCTCTCAGGCACAATTTTCCAAAATACAGTGTCTCATTTAAAGAAAGTTGATGAAATATACACACATACGCTATGAAGTCTAATAGAGTCAACAGATCTATTATTAAAATTATATGTTGAGGTTACTCTGTGCCTCACAGTTTCTTAGGAACTTTAGGAAATATAAGTCCTAAAATCTGTTCCCTGTGACCAAGGAGTTATGATCTAGTCAGCAAGACAAGATCAATACACAACATATAATTATAGTTTAAAATAGGAGAGACTATATTTCAGTATTAGATCGTATGGAGTCATCTTCAAATATAGTAGAAAGAAGGGAGAGTTCAAGAATAATATAAATTTTCATTTTTAGATTGTTTATCAAGATGGAACTTCCTTTTGACTCCATTATGACATGTTTAACCATTGACTCCAGAATGACCTTAGAATTGTTTCAGTAAGTGCATTCATAAATCACTATTAGATTTTTAGTGACAGAAT